CGCACGCCGTAGCGGCGTGAGCTGGGCGCGGTGAGGGTTGGTGATAACTACAGTTTCCTCCTTCCTCCTCCGGAAACTTCCATTTTAGTTGCCAGTTAGTTAATTAAGTAGCCAGTCAGTTTATTTAGTTGCCAGCTAATTTCATTGCCAGTTATAGTTACATTTCAATTGCCAGTTACAGTGTGTTCACTGAGACCCGTGTCCATTTGCCTCCGAGAGAGACTGCGGCCCGCTACATAATTGGTGGCAGCAGTGGGGTTCGAACCCACGCCTCCGGAGAGACTGGAAAGTAGCCAGTCAGTTTATTTAGTTGCCAGTTAATTTCATTGCCAGTTATAGTGATCCAGTTTGGTTTGAACGATATCGTGCAATTTTGTTTGACAACGTTGGTAACGTTTAGTCTCTCACCAGCTACATGTATATATTGCCCAGGTTCATTCAGCATACGTTTTTCTTCTTTTCTCTTTATGTTCACCACTCATCCCCCTTTTTTCTAAACATTTGAACATTTACACTGATGTATTGTTTATTTTTTATTTTTTATTATTTTTTTGGTCCCATCGGCCTCTTCATATTTGTGCAGCTGCACTGTTGAGCTTCCGATGTAAAACAAATAATAATAATAATAATAATAATAATAACGAAGTCTGAAGAAAATGTTGAACGGCCTCTGCTGGGATGACGACTACACCATAGCTCAGTGGTTAGAGCATCGCTGGCTACAAGCGAGGGTCCCTGGTTCGAGTCCTGGTGGTGACAGTCAATTTTTTCTTCAGACTTTTCCCGTTTGTCTCTTTCCCTCAAACCAGTTAATAATAATAATAGTTACATTTCAATTGCCAGTTACAGTGTGTTCACTGAGACCCGTGTGTATTTGCCTCCGAGTGAGACTGCGGCCCGCTACAACAGTATGGTACACGCCTCAGCTACACATGTTAAAGTGGAGGCAAAGCCGACTCTAGAAAGCGTACTCGCGAGATCCACAATGCACTGTGGCTAAGTCAGCTTACTGGATAGCTCGAAACATCCACAAGAACAACCTTAGGGAAGCCAGGAGAATTACTCTAGATCGCTGAGGCATGGTGACGTCCCCCTGGCTTTCAAACACACTGTAATAAGCCATCTGTTCAAAGCTGGCCATCCATCAGCTAGCCATCCATCTGTAGCTGCAAATTATCTTCCTGTGTCGCTCCTGCAGATCGTATCCTAACTACTCGAGAAGATACTCCAGAAGCAACGTGTTGCACATCTGGAGCGATCATGTGCCACACCACCGACGCCTTTTAACTTCCGCCGTGAGCACTCCACGGAGGACGCCCTAGTTATACCAACAGATGCCATCTTAAAGGCCCGGAACAAAACAGTTGACCTCCGGCGTCTGCCTAATCGATATGTCAAAAGCCTTTGACAAGGTCAATCACTGCCAATTGGTCCGGGACGTATTTGATTTCGGCCTGGATAATTCTTCCCTTCGACGGCTCTGCAGCTACCTAAGCGATTGCATCCAGCAAGTACGAATTAGCCACACCTACAGTGTTGCTTCTAAGTGCTCATCCGGTGAACCTCAGGGCTCTGTCCTTTGACCGATCCTGTTTAGCATTTACACCCGTGATGTCCCTGCCATAATATCTCATCCTGCTACATCTCAGCAATTACTCGACGACATGTCTGACCTCCTATGCGGATCTAACACCTTCTCTTTCTCCCTCAAGGCTTCGCAGCTTGATTGCCTTCAGGTCCTGCAGAACGGAGGGGCCAGAGCGGTATACGGTTTGCCACCTCACACCTCTGCCCAGCCTCTGCTCGAACGGATGTCCCTGTACAGAGTTCGGGAGTATTACGCCCAGATGCGACTCGTCCTGGTGCAGCGCTATGACAACGGGAAAGCCAGCAGTGTCCTCCTGGATCTATTCTCACCATCAGCTAGTAGCACCATCCGGCGCTAGGTTTCCACGGGGCGTCACTGTCCCCTGGGCACAATCATAAATTTGCACATTCACATCTCGCCTGGCCTTTCAGGCAGCCTTGTCCACCTTGCAGTGACTTGCAGTGACTGTCTCACTTTGTCCGTCCACACACTATGTGATGTACTCTTCTCGGGATGTCTGTGCACCTATGAACTCTTTGTGTTCCCTCTGTGGACGCTGCAAAGTCGCTTATCATAATTATACTAAAGAAGAAAGCACCAAGAAACTACAAGTTACGGTATAATGTCCACTAATAATAGTAAACACAGCTCGCATCTTCCCTGGACCTGTTAAACAGGAGCAGGGTCAACGCATCTGGCAACAGTGTCAAGCGAAGTTAGTCTATCTCATGCAGCTTGGAGAGCGCTCTCCACGGAGAGATCCGCTGCCTTCAGGTCGTGCCGAATCGTATCTATCCACCGCAATGGCGGACGGCCACGGTTTTTTAAGTCATTTGTCTTGATTGATAGCTCCAGTGCTTGGAACGAGGCGGATTCTGGACCTTCTCGCACCACATGGCCAAACCACAGCAGCCTGCGTCGCCGGCATGCGGCACTAACTGGAGATTGTTTTGTTTCTGTGTATAAGTTGTTATTGGTGATGCGTTGCGGGTAGACAATCTGCAGCAGTATGAATAGCTTCCTCCGTTGCCATTTGTCCAATTTGTCGTTGAGTAATTTGGACAGAGTCCACAATCCGCAATTATATAGAAGTATCGGCATTATGTGGCAGTTAAACATACATAGTCGGAATTGAAAGGAATGCCGTCTCCAAGAAATCGAACCAAACGACCTGTTTGCTTTTGAGATTCTCATGTCCACGTCTTCTGCAGAGCCCAATAGAGAACCCAGGAGTGTGATTGATCTCCATTCGTTGCTGTTTCTCGCAACATCAACATATTCAGTTTTCTGTGTATTGAGCTTGAGATTGTCCTCGATAAATATAGGTTCACACTCAGCAGCAAGAGCCTTCGCCTCATCGTCATTTCGGTTATGCAGAGTAGTATCGTCAGCATACTGCGTTGTTGGAGCAGGCATTGGTGAACGAATTGTGCATCTTTCCCTCATCTTGCGCATTGTGCCTTCTGCATATGTTATGAACATAATAGGGGACATCGGGTCTCCCTGGACCACTCCGATGTTATTTGGGAATGGTGGACTCAGGGAGCCACTCAGCTTGATCCTGGCTGTCGTGTTGGAAAGTAGTGACTTGATAGTTGTTGTGCTGATATCTGCTTCCTCTAACCTGTCAAGTGCTGTGGTGCGAATTATAGTGTCAAAAGCATCAGAGAAATCTAGGAGGGTGACGGAATATGTCCAGTTGCCAAGCAAGGCGCGCTCACACAGCGACCTTGTGTAAAATACATCATCAGTGGTTGAGCGAACTGGACGAACACCAGGCTGGGTTTCAGAGACATAAACTGTGATGTCATCCGTGTTACGTTTAGTAATACCTGACGTCAGCACCTTTCTCACTACAGAGAGTAACATGATCGTGGCTTGCCTAGTTTGTATACAGGTACCACCAAATCACTGCGCATATCGTCAGGGCAATAACCACACTCTGTATTGCGTTGAAGAAAGAGGCTAGCCAAGGACTGAGGAGGTCCTTAGCAGCTCGTAGCATTTCCGCACTCGGATTCCATCGGGTCCCGCGGCGCCTCCTTTTTTTGTTTACTGATTGCTGAAGTGACTTCTTGGGTGATAAACGGCAATTCCTCATCATTGATATCTTGCGCCACTAACACAACCTAATACTAAACAATAAGCTCATGCGAGAACATTGCACGATTCTGACCAACAGTACTGACGTTCTAAAACTAACTGGCTAATAGCTCCTCACTCCAACAGCCTTCCAGCTTGGAAGGTTCTAAGTTATAGAAATAACATTAGGGGGATGTGAGAGCAACCAAGACAAGTACGGGCTGAAATTGTCAGCTGTGAAGGACTTTGGCGGATGTTCATGCATGTCGATGACGATACTGGCAAGATCACTGGACAATACAGTCAAACTACCATTCAAGGACGCAAAGCAACATTCCACACAACTTGTGTGGCTCAAAGATGGGAAGATCAATAAAAGGGGGAGGTATGCGAACAAGAATCATGCAAAACTGGACGCCTCAGTAAAACAGCACTGTGCTTCGACTATAACAATTTAGATGGAGAATGAGCTGCAATGTTATCGCGTGAGCTGATTGTTTAGTAACTGGTAGTCATAGTGGACATAACAGAGTAACTTGTAGTTTCTTGATCCTTGCTTCTTTACTATAAATATATCCTTGGCTCTTCATCCGAGTCCATATTAAATTACATCGCAATTTGTTCTTCGCTGCTACCCCCAACCACACGTTGATGGGCCCACCACGCACCGATGCTCCTATTGTCACTGCTTCCGTCTCTGTATCTCTGTATCTGTATCCCGTAGCTCTATCCCGCTTTGAAATTGTCTTCCATAGAATGGGGCACCATTGCCTTTTTGGCCTTGCGGAGTAAAATCAAAATCAAAAACAACAGCAACAAAGCACGCGTGGGTGCTGTGGAAGGCTATTGGAGAGCGCATCCAGCACGTGCCAGAATTTTGTAGAACGTCAGTAATGTTGGACAGTGCTTTGCAATGTTATCCCTTGCGCTGATTTTTTGGTACCTAGTGGTGTTAGTGGACATTACAGCGTGCAGCGTAAAGTGTAGTTTAGCGGTCCTTTTCTTTACTGTAACTTTTAACCCTTGGCTCTCCATCCGAGTTTATAATTATATACATCCACAAGAGAGAGATTGAAAGCTGTGTTGCAACTTCGAGTTTCCTGTGTTACTTACGATCATCAGGCAACTGATGGCTCCAAAACGGGCAGCCTGCACATAAGGGGGAGCAAGGTGGGAAATAATAAGGGGAACCAAAGCGTACATGTCAGGTGCAGACTAGAAATTGCTAAATCTCTCTCTTGTGTAGAAGGATCTGCCCTATTTGGGTATTTAGCTCTCCTCGGACAGTGGAGCACGCTACTTGATCACGTATTTTTATATGAATTTCCAGGCATCTTCGGAACAACAAACCCCTCAGCAGCCTGCCAGCATCCATCTTTGGAAATCTTCGAACATTGCAATTGCTGTGAGTTGATGATTTTGCATGCGTCGTTTCATTTTCATTATTATTGAATAAATCATGCAGGCTGCAGAGCCAGGGCATTGTACAGGTATACACAGGTCATTTCAATGAAGTTTCTGGCGACGTTACGCCGTAGAATTTCACCCAAGGCAGGAAATCACCTGGTAATTTGAATCGATACAAAAATGTTCCTGGTGATCCATTGGCTGGGAACGGGAAAAGTCCCAATGAAAAACTGACTGTCACCAACAGGACTCGCACCTGGGGTTCGCGTATGGCATGGATGCTCTACCACTAAGCTATCTGGACATTTACAGTATAATACTCCAGTAACGGGAGGAGGTGGGGTGTGCGGAGAGGTGGAGGGAGCGTTTTGAATTGGTTTTAGCTCTTGATTTCATCCATCGACCCTCTGACCATGTTGAAAGAAGAAAACTGCTGCAAACTCTGCCGAGAGAGAGCATCAATAATTACAATAGTGATGAACATTATAAATTCACACTTCTATCACAAATAGGCATTTGCGGCTAATGCTCGTTTATTTAACTAGTGATGCTTTCAGCACTGCTTTTCATTTCGGCAGATAATGCTAGTTAACACGCATGCATTCGCTATTGCAGACACATCATATGGAGGATTCATGGAGTGCTGGGCAACCGAATCTGGCATGTGATAATCATGTAGGATAGTCCACGCACGAGGTGCAGCCCATGAAATGGGCGCCCATGAACTGGGCGGAGTGTGGATAGCCTGTATGATAGTGCTTATGTATGTCCACGCACAAAGTGCAGCCCATGAGATGGGCGCCCATGAAATGGACGGAGTGTGGACGGCCCACGCACGAAGTGCAATGCCCGTTAGGAGGCAGGAGTGTGGGAGTACGAGTGTGATGGCCGAAGGCCGTGATAATTGCCAGATGAGAGGAGATAGCTGGCCCAGCACTCCTATTTATTTTCGTCTTGTATGAATTATGATACCTGTGTTGAATCAAGGATATCAATATTATTCATAGATGGGAAGAGGTGGGTGGGTGAGAAAGGAACAAACCGGTGTTCTTCTCACGACGCAAGCAAAGCAAATATGAAGTAGCAATGTGGCCAGCGCGAATTATGGTGTATGCGTTACGGGTTCAAGCTCCGATGTGTGCTGCAGCCGCATATGTCTTTTTTGCTGGCGAGTTCAGGTGAGTTCCGGCGTTCGCATGTTACATGCCACCGCAGCGTGCATGTGCGTGTTACTTGACATGCATCAATGAATAGCGTGGGATCTGCGGGCTCTTTGGAAGCCGCTGGAGCGCGTGTGAAGTGGTGGTTTGTGCAATGTGTTAACCTACATTACCACAAGCTCTAATGTGCTATTTAAACGCTCGTTCTAAAATTTAATGCTCGTAACCCAAGTGACAATTGTGGGAAAACAGGATAGTGAATGACGTCATAAAATTCAAAATCGGCTTGGGTTTCAAAACTTTCCATGTATCATGAATGCCGGTGAATGCACATGTGATGGGGTAAACAAAATCAAGACGGCTGGCATTGTTTTCTACCTCTCCTTGCGAAATATTTATCTCCGTTTCAAGCTCATAGCTCAGTACTCAGTTTATCATGGTTTTACTGCAGAATTAGCCCTTTGTGAGCCGATTGGACCTTTCAAAATTCTGTATATTTTATGTTCTTTGGGACCTCACTTTAGTTCTGCTCACACAATCTCCACAATCTTGGGCCTCCTGGAACGGTCTCCGCGAGAGGAAGAGATTGACGACACGGATGGTGACCATAACGCCATATCTCCAACGGCAGAGAGCAGCGAAATAGCGAAAATGGCTTGCAATGCGTGCAATTTCTTCCTGCTCCAGCCATTTCATTTTTCTCAATCGCAGAGTTTTGATTTTTTCACTGTGGACTCTTGGAAATACTACCCGTGAAACCCACACAAAATTGAGTCACTCCGCGTGAGGAAAAGTCTCAAAGTTCTCAACTTTCCCGTTGCACTCCACGCTTTTCAAGATGCCGCGATCGCGGCTGAACGTACGAGCGATTTATCTCAGGAACTGTTGATCGTAGTGCGTCGCGGACGGGTTCTTCGGCACGCTGAGAGTTTTCTCTTCGACAGCACCCTTGTAAGCGGATTGGTCAGGCTTGTGTCGTCGATCTGCTAACTATCCCTAGCCTGGTAATGCTTCCATGAGGCAGATCGAGTCGGTTTGATGGATCTTTACATGATATCACAGGCCTGGCACAATAACAAACGAAAATGCAAAATGGCAATAAATAAGATAAATTGTGCACTCGTAACACCAGCAAAAATGAAGAAAGTCAAGTTCCATAACGTTTTCTTGTGACTGTCCTTAGTGGAACGCCGTCACATAAACTGATCACAGTCACAAGAAAACGTTATGGAACTTGACTTTCTTCATTTTTGCTGTTGTTATGAGTGCACAATTCATCTTATTTATTGCCACTTTACGAATATTGTCTCCTCGTCGATTGTGAAAATGCAAAACCGAATTATTTTTTAAAGAAAAAAAATTGAACTTGAAAATTTACAGATAAATCTATTCATGATAGTCTCTGTTGGATCGTCCCCTCAAATTACTGGTGGCGTTCCTCCTACGGATGCGGAAAACTCGGTTTCCAGCTGAATCTCACGCGAAACGTGAAATATAATATTTTTTAATAGTCAAGTAATGATGACCCAAACACCCGAAACACTCAATATCGAGAAAGAAATTTGATTTGCCAAATGGTGGGTCTACCTTTTTGTGATTTCGCGCTGTAGGACCCTAGACCGATGCAGTCTGACGTGGCTGGATGCTAAGGTGTTTGAAAATGCAACAAGTCTTGAAAAACTGTAAGTACATGGGCAAAGCTTGATCATGTGCGTATGTAGTTCTCATTTCATCAACATCCAACTCATTTCTCGTTGCACTCAAAAACCGTATCAATGTTACTCTGATCACCGCGATGCTGATACACATGTGAACAACGTACTTGTAATACATGTTACACTTCATCATTTAATTTACCTAATGAAGTGATCTCATCATCCTCATCATGATCATCACGATCATCATCATCAGCCCTTTCGCGTTGGAATCGGCGTCAGCCTAGCCCTCGTTTGGGCCACACCCAATGGTAGACATGATACCAGAAGAGAAGGGGAGTAAAGAGAAGCGACGAAGAAAAAAGGGCAAAGAGAAAGGTGAACAAACACTTCATCATAATTTATGCATACTACTCAAAAACATGAACCATGCAACCCGTCTGGCGCAGGAAAAAGATATTGCGAGTACATGTAGGTATAAGTTAGATTGCTCAGTGGTGATATCACTGATATCACATCAGTAGTAGATAATTCACGCCACCCAGATCACGTGCGCCCAATTTCACGCAATTCTCTTCTCCGCAAACTCAATGATCTCAACCAAAAGCCCGTCGATCACGGAGCCATCATAACAACTGAGGAGAGAAACCGGTAATGTTGAGTTACATGTGTATCGAACTACACGAAGTAGAATGAAACTATGCCACACGTGATAAAGGTTAAAGGGGAACTACACCCAAAAATCAAAACTTCATGGTCCGTAGAGTTTTGGACGCTGAGTCGAATGGTGAAGGTTCCACTTCGATCCGACCAAGCGTTCCTGAGATATCTTCGGTTTAAATTGTATTTTCGGGGGACGCGCCATGACGTCATGCGGCCGCGACGCACCCCCAAAACGCCCTTCTTCGTCATTGAGACTAGCCTGCTTGGGCCAAGCTCAGAAGTACAGGTATTTTGGTATGTGAAAGGAATAGTTCTGACAAAGACGTCCTCACCATGAGCGATTCCGACCTATCAGACGAGCTTGAAAGCTCAGAGCCTGAGCTGAAAATGTTTGGCTTCGGGCATGAGCCGAAATTTTCAGGAAAGGACATGGCAGCGCAAGCGGTGGCTTCCATTCGGGCTGTAAATGTGGATGAAGCAGAAATGACTGCAATTGGAGAAGTCGCTCTCCATCAGCAACATCTGCCGAACGGTTGGCTGGGCTATTTCGAAATGAAGCGGCAGCCAAAGCAACTCAGACAACCCAATCAGTAAGTGTTTTCACAGTATAGTCCTTCGTAATGCTCACAAATCGAATCGTTCTCTTCATATCGTAAATTGTGTGAAATTTTGTATTCACACAGTACTCAGATCAATAGTCTCCTCACTCGCACTCCTGTCCATGGAGTTTGCTGCGTAACATGGCTAGCATTATCTCCGTGCAAGTCGTGCAATGTGTATCCGTTCACTTCTGCTGTATCTCACATAAGTTGACTGCACCTGAATTCGTATTGTAGCGAAATACATTCTCACCTTTTGCATAATCACTTAGTCCTTACAGAATGTTGTATTTCACGTAGCTGTGTACCAACAATTACGCTGTGCACTCTAGCAGCAGCAGCACAGTAGCATATTGAGTGCGTTTTGCCCTACTGTGGTGTTTCATGACTGCATTACCGGAACAGCTCTCTGTTCTTGTTGATTATTATTCTAACATGTGTGCAAATATCCGCCTGCGTTCCACACAGACACACGCACATGTGCTCACCTTGGTGGGCACCTAGTATAGTAGTCACACATGCTCACGCACGCAGACACGCAATTTCACAAGCGCGTGCGCACACGAGTGCATAAGCATACAAGTGCCTGTGCACATGCTCGTTCACGCGCACATGCGCGCACTCATGCACTTGGTTGCATACGCACACATCCCTTAGGATCACTAACGGCAATGCATCTACTACTTGTCATTCCATGTCCCTCCCGCAAGGGGAGAGAATGACATAAAGGATAACACAGAATAGATGATAGCTACTTGCAAGTATGAAAAGTATGAATGCCGCAGACACCACCACGCAACATGACAATTTGTTCCAGGTTTAAGATTGTGTGTTTCCAGAATCGATTTTCAAGCTCCGATCATCAGTGGAAATACGGAACTAAAAGTGATCAAGGGAAAAACAAAGGTTAAAAATCCAAAGACGTGTGACACATGACGCGTAAGTATTACAAAAAGTGAGGGCTAAGATAAAAAAAAAGCAAGAGTGACAAATGGGCATGAACAGTGCAGAAACAACTCATGAACACGGGGTGCAAACTAACGAAAATAACCTAAGTGCTACAACATGTTCTTTTTGCTTACACAAATCGGGCTTATGCGTACGAATACAAACAGCTTCAAGGACCTTCAACTGCTGGACATAACGGGCACGACACAGTACAGAGAAGTGGGAATCATCATACACACTCAAACAATCGGGACGAGATAACAAATGCAAGTACACAGCTGACTTCTTACAAAAAGAATAGAATGGGATACGGAGGTTGGGTTGGCTGTGACTCAAAGTTTCACGCCTGTGGCGATCATCAGACAGCAATGAATACAAAAACTCAATGAATGTTCTTGACTTCTTACGAATTTCACCCTCATCAGCTCCATTACCTTCCCTGCCATCTGACTCCTCCTCGTCCGTTTTATCACCATCACCACCAGCCGTCTCATCGTCATCCGCCTCGTCATCATCCGCCTCGTCGTCATCTGTATCTTCGTCATCCGCCGCATCATTACCCAACTCACATTCACCACCAGTCAGTCGTCTCATACCATCCGTGTTCTCCTTCCTACGTGTGTCCCGTGCGACTTTTCTTACCTCATCTACGTCCCGAGATTGTGTTCCGTTTAGCTTCAGGCTTCTGTTCTCCTTCGATGCTCCGCATGGGCCTTGGCCATTCCTAGCATATATTTTGGTTGAATAATTGGCGGTCGACCTACGTGGTCCCTGGACCCACGGATCAAGCGCCGGAGGGTGCTGCGGTGTCCGCACAACCGGATACTGTGTCAAAGAAATGGGATCAATTTCTGTGATTGGCGGTACTGTCGTTGTTTCCGACTCTACCCCAACCCCAACCACCAACGGCACTGGTGGTGGCTCCGCTGGCGGCAAGGGCAACGGTGGAGAAGGCACATTCGGTTGGCCTAGTGATCCACCACTCTTCCTCTGCACCATGTGTTCGACTTGCTCTGGCTGTGTCGGTGGTAGAGGGAGCGGGTTCTTGCGTGGTCTTCCCCGCTTAGGGTGCTTCGCTTTTGCTGCGTCCGGCAGCATGTGAGGTGGTACGTGCTGCTGTGGTCGTAGCTCATCAGTGAGTCACAGCGACCGATGGTACAGCCGCTCTTGATCTTCTTCCTGTAAAATCAAGAACAGCAATCGCAGACAGGTTCATCGATCGCAAGCAGTATAACCTAGGAAAACAGTAGATCTACTGCCGTCTACCTGTCATCAGGCCGGTTTCGGAAAGCTTCACATTTCGTAGTGATCTAGTCCAAAACAATTCTACAAATGCTTTGGAAAAGAAAGAACTACATACAGTAGCTAGTGTTTTTGAAATATTGCACTCACCTCCGCTTTTCGACTGACGCTTCACAGTGTGGCGTGCGAAAAAAGGACACACCACAGTTTCATCCACCAGCGTCCGGATCGGAAGAGTGCATAATATTCCTCCTGAAAATCCTCCTCTGCCAAATGGCTGGAACACACGCGAAGGATTTACATTGTAGTCCCGAAATTGTCAAGCAAATAATTACATGTATGTCGCTTGATAGCTGCTATGGTACACTGCTCGGCCTGTGCCAAGCACAATCCTTCGGAAATTGGTGCAGGTTCATCCCAGGGGGTTGCCAGTACGATTATAGTAGCCAACAACACAGCCAGAAGCCATGATGGCAGCAAATACCCTATTCTTCCATGGACAAACAGAAAGAAGATGCGAAATCCGAGTGTGAAGTTCCCCTTTAAAGGGGAACTCCGGTCCAAAATCACCCCCATTTTATTGCGGAATCCATTAGAGTATGTCGTAAGTGGTAGAATGGCGAAAACCGGAAGCTTCTACGACAAGGATAACATACCTATATTGCCAATTGCACAAATCCATGCTACGACAGGCGGGCAGGGGCCTCTTTCTTCGTGTCATTGTCGCATCCAGAGACGCAGCAGCGAGTCGTGACAATAAATCGGGCATGGCACAGAACAACAAGCACTTCAACAATCAAAAAAATGTAATGGCCAAGGACTTTTCATTTTTGCTTCAATTATTGGAAAATTTCATCTGAGTGGATCATGGACCGGACTGAGAACGCTTTACGTCACAGGGTAGGCATATGCGGATAATGCCGGCAGGAAAATTGGCAGAATTCGGTACTTTTTCTGGTAAGTTTCATGCATGTTTGGTATGTGGATAAAGAAATGGAGCAGAATTCGAGGAATTGCCCGCCATAAGGTTTGTATACATAAGGTTTGTATGGTTCTGCCAATTTCACTGCTTTTCGAGCAGAATCTGCCACCTTTTCGAGCATTATCCGCACACCCTAATCACAGGGTAGGCGGGGCCCCTCGTGCCAAATATGGAAAATTGCAATTGGTAATTTAGGAATGTTATCCTTGTCGTAGAAGCTTCCGGTTTTCGCCATTCTACCACTTACGACATACTCTAATGGATTCCGTAATAAAAATGGGGGTGATTTTGGACGGGAGTTGCCCTTTAAAACATCATTGTGTTACGCACACACATACATGCATACACATACGCATCCACACCCACACACACGCATGCACACACGCGTGCACACACACACACGCGCGCACGCACACACACATACCAACTCTTACACTCACACACACACGCACACACACACACACACACACATACCAAATCTTACACTCTAGTACTGAATCCTACCCGGCTACTTGACAAGACTCAAACTTGCCAAAGTCCCTAAATCAACGTCAACTACAACTGCGCTGCAGGGATCACGTCTGGCTCTGCCAACCGGGTTATGGTTGTAGTCAGGAGAACTACGCGTCCTCGCCTTGTAACATGCTGTCAAAATCGAAAAACATGTTAAACTATCAAGCAAGACTTCTGTATATACACAAAGACATGTAGGTTTGCGTAATGCCGCGATGAAGAAACGTTTATACTATATTCAGAAAAATGATTTGAATACAAAACAGGGTTTAAGAATTGTAGGCCGTTCTTACTCTGTTGATTTCACTCCTATGTTAGTACTAACACTTTTATCTCCCCGCAGTTCATTCACGTGCTTCTTTTAAAATACTTTGTTGTCTTTTTACCTTTCAGTGGACTCGCATCCAATGAAATCCAGTTCCTTCCTCGAAATTTATTTTCAAAGAACGCTCATCTGGCACACCTGTAAGTATTTGAATCGGAAAATGTTTCAACCACTCAGCAGAACTCATATTTCCCAAGCCGACATAATATAATAATATAATAATCTTTATTTCAGGATTACCTAAAGGCTGACGCCTACCGCGGGCATCTCTTATATGTGTATATAGGAAGGAGCCAATTTGTTGTTGAAAGACAGAGACGTAATCTCGCACAACTTTTCCGATAGCTAGAAAGATACCGAAAGGGGAATAAAAAGAAAAAGGAAAAAGGATCAAGGAACTTCAAGTTACGCTAAAATGTCCCCTGACACCACCAGTTACTAAACATCAGTTCATCTGATAACATTGAACGACACTGACCGCGGTAATGATGTTGTACAACTAACTGGCTAACAGCTCTAGCATATCTTGGATGGGTCCTCCAACTGTTTCCAATTTGGAAGGTTCTAAGTTTATATAATAACATAGGAGGGGCAGGTGAGCACCACCAAGACAAGCACGAGCTGAAAATCTCAGCTGTGAAGGACGTTGGCGGATGCTCATGCATGTCGATGACGATACTGGCAGGACCATTTTACAATACAGTCTAACCTCGATTCCAGGACGCAAAGAAACATTCCACACAACTTGTGTGGCTCAAAGATGCGAAGATCAATAGTAGGGTAGGCTACGCGGACAAGATTCATGCAAACCCGAGCGCCTCAGTAAAACAGCACTGTCCTTCGACTATGACAACTTAGATGGACAATAAGCAGTGGTAACAAGCCACAGTTTCACAAGAAGATCATTTCGCCATATAGATAAAGACGGCTCATCAGGTGTGCAAGAATGGATTCGGATAGAGAGCCAAGGATACATTTATAGTAACGAAAAAGAACCAATGAACTACAAGTTACCCTATAATGGCCAACACCACCAGTTACTAAACAATCAGCTCATGCGATAACATTGCACGACACTGACCGACGATACTGACGTTCTACAACTAACTAGGTAAAAGCTTTAGCATATAGTGGATTCGCACTCCAACAGCCTTCCAACTTGGAAGGTTCTGAGTTATACTCGTATGATATTGTTCCGCGCAATCTGAGAATTTGCGCAATCTGAGAATTCCCAGATTACGCCGCCCAGTCACGGTACAACCGCGTTTCTGACCTTCTAGGAGACTTTTGCGAGCACCCTCAAGTAAGTGTGTGGTTCGTGCAATCTGTGGATTTCTCTCAAAATCTGAAGAGCACAGCGACTTCATGTGGGGCGCAGTCTGCGGGTGCAATCTGTGTATTGCGTTGAAAATCATGGAGAGCACAGCGAATACGTGTGGGGCCAAGGCTCCGGCGGATTATGCTCGCGAAATCATGGAATTATGCTTTCAAGGATTCTCGCATTATGCTCATAAAATCCTCATATTATGCTTTGGCACACGGCGATATTATATTCACTTTGTTGTACTTATGGAGCCTCAAAGTTCGGAAATTGTGCTTTTTTCGTACTTGCAAGTTGCAAGTGGCCATAAGTACAACAAAATACATGAGTATCCCCATATCAAGGTGTCCATGCATGTTATAGATCAACATAGAAAAGAGAAAACATTACTTCTTCTATTCATCACTTGATTTCAGTTGTACTTCAGGAAAAATATTATTTCATTGCCAAATTGGTTTGAGTTACCTTTGCAAATTATCATGTTCAACTCACGGTCTTCGTAATCATCATACTCGTCCAACCGATGTCACCCTCACCCTGCGAATAATCAGCTCATCTCTCCCGTAGCTCAACTTCTCCTTCCATCATGACTGAACATCAACTATACATCAATTTCCAGCAATATCGATAGCCTGCAGTTATATTGACTTCGTAACATGCATAATGTACAAATGTAATGTAAACGGAGTTTTGCGAACTACCCGCCACTATCTCGTCCGCCCCGAGATACCTGATGAAGGCTGATTCACTCGCATCTTCTGCTACATGTACTGTGTCAGTGTGAGAAAGAACTTTGAAGAAGAAGAGTTCGAGTATACAATACTGTATTGCCATGATTTCTACCCTGGCTTTCACTGAAAACACTATCTGCATGATTTCCGAACCCTTTACCATGCAAACCACCAGCAATGATCATGTGCATTGTGCACAATTGTATAGCCTACCTACTAGAACTGTGGTATAATGGTGTAGTTATGCTCCTACCTCCGCGAGGATGCCAAATTATCCTCCAAATTTTCAACCACCAAATTATCCCAATAATTATGCCGGCATAATCCGCCGGTGCCTACTGAGTGGGGCGCAACTTGTGGTTCGAGTTCCGTGGTAAAAAAGACCAGGAGCATAGCGAATCCATGAGGGACATCATCTGTAGGCGCAATCTGTGGATTTCTTTGAAAAAACATGAAGAGCACCGCGAATCCGTTTTGAGCGAAATGTAACAAGACTCTTGTACGGGCAAAGCAAATTTGCTTACATTATATTATGACAGAAAATCTCAATATAAAAAATAATAAAATAATAAATGAACAAAACGTCAAGAATCTGAAGAAAGAAAAAACTCAATCCAATTCTTTGTTGCCGTAACGGGAACTAAAACCCAACACAAATCTGAGAAGATGGCAGTTGGCGGTCACGCTGCAACGAAATCACCAAACGTAAGCACTAACAATGCGGAAACATGGTTGCAGGAGACAAACTACAAGTAAGCAAGCAACGCATAATTATAAAGAAACAATCAGACAATTAAAACACGTTTAATACCGTCTAGGCCAGTGACCTGCACAGGCAGCGGTGCAAGAAGCCGTGGTCTTGCCTGCGGCCATACGAACCCCTGCAACCGCGGAAGCATGTTATGGCCCAACGGAGCAGGGTAAACGACAGGAGGCTCCGAAGCTCACCCATCACCACGGAGTAGGCAAGCTCGCTATGCTTCTCCACCAGTTGCGATGACAGTGCCTTCAAACACAATGTCGTCTCTTTACCGCACATGCCGGAGGTACTGAAAACGAGAGGCGTGAAGTTTCTACGATCCACTCTGTTCACTCTGTCACAGTATGTTCTTTTTGCCTTTTCATGCGCCTGGAGCTGACTCAGGACTTCCGAACGAGACAGCAGGGAAGCTTTGGGGTGAGTGACCCGTACATCAAAGAAAGCATCGTGCTGGCTCGACCAAAAGCCCCGAGCCCGAATATCCAGGCGTGCTCCTGCCGACCGGTTGGCTGAACGGCCTGGCAAATCCTCTCCCTCATATGGGAGCAGAGTCGGCTCAGTCTCCACAACCTTCACCACCTCTCGCATCACCTCTGCCAGGAGATCTCGAATCTCATTATGGCGAGCGATGGGGTATCCCCCCACATGGGCACGCTAAAGCATGATCCGTGGTGAGGGCAGCCCCACACACACAGGTACTGGGGAGGCCATCCAAAGAAAGACCGTAACGCAGGCACAGTGCATCACGGAAATCGGCTTTGTTCAGAATTGTTACTCTGTGCATGAGGGAAGGAGGTGTTGTGAGCCAGCTGGAGACTCCTTTTTCACCAGCCGTCTCCAGAAGCAACTGCTGTTGTGGTGATACGGTGCCATGAAGGTTCCGGGATTGATCCTCATGTTCCCTCATCTGCACAGACCGGAGCTGGCGGGCAGTTTCGCGCACTGCGCCAATGGCGTCCATGACCGGATCAGCCTCAACGGGGACAATCGCTGAATCCGGGACCGCTGTCAATGCGGCAACAACACCGGGGGCTGCGCGCTTGAATTCAATGCAGCAGGGGAAATCACCGGCCTGCCGGCTCGGGGCCGTCACAAAGCGGGCTTCGTCCGGGGTGCTGGCACCAGCAAGCGCAGGTACTTGAGTTGTCGGAGCAGCGTAACCCGGCAGCTCAAGCCGGATCAGCGGTGCTGTGGTCCTGATGGAAGCATCGTGCTCTTGTCGCGCCATGGAGCTAAGAACGGGAATGGCCAGACCACCAAAACGAACTGCCATGGCCAAGAGCTCGCGGAAGGACCCCGAACCCGAGACATTGTGCCCAAGGAGAGTCGGCAGCAGGACGGTATTTAGCACGTCATCCACGCTGGTAATGATGTCGCTGGGGCATGCCATCGCCTGCAGATGGTACTTGCACCTGCTCGATGAGCCTCTAGTGTTTCGGTGTAGGCAGCGTGAGGCTGAGTCTTGGCCATCACCGCCAGGACCCGCAGTTCATCAGCCCATTTCCCTGCCAACTCCGACAGATATCCATGGCAGAATTTTCGGGTGCCTATTCCGCCGCCCAGGTACCGGAATCCAGAACATGTGACTCTGATGCCCGTTCCTCCAAAGATGTCTCTTGCTCTGTCAAGTACATCAGCCTTAACAACCAGCACGGTCTTGGATGGGTTTGGATGGTACCCATATCCAGGTCCTACCGCCTTCAGCTCATCCCAATATGTACGCAGGGGCTGGAGCCAGTCAGCTGCCGAATCATCATCTGCATACCACAACTGCGTGAAATTAGGGCATACCTGGGCCAGATTCTTGACTAGGGGGCTGATGGCGACTGCGTATATAGCCATAGCAAGCGGATCTCCCTGGCAGGTTCCTTCGGCCGACAACACTTTGCCTCCACCGCTCACAAAAAGGCGAATTGGGCTGGAATAGGTGTTCACGAATACTCTTGCCAACGCTGGACACGGACGAGGCAAGTTGTGTAGAGCGACTTGTCTGTTTAGACTGTTAAACGCATTTGACTCATCCACCATCAGAACGCCTTCCACCATTGGGCGTGCAAACAAGGCTGACATGGTGTGAACCGCGGCCTCGCATGCAGGTGGCACACCCACACACGTCTGCAATGGGGCAATGGGGCCGTCACTCTTCTTACGTCGCTCTCCACAACAGTCATGATCGCGCGGCAGATTAAACGTCGGCAGACCTCCCCAACGGCAATTGGGCGAACACCAGGTTTCTTATCTAGGGGTATGAGGCGTGCCGAGGTGAAGCCAATCATAGCATCAGCCTCGAGAGTCTCCGTGCACAGGCACCTTGCAGCCGCAGCCAGAGCACAGCAAAGACGATCCAAGGCTTCCCTGTAGCAGGTTGTCATCCTGCACCAGGCGTCCGAATCGAGGCCCGAGGGGCCAGACGAGCCTTTCATTTGTCGGCTGAGCTTTTTGATCACCTCGGGGGTTAGCCTCTGAAATATCACAGGAAGAGCCGGCTCTGCCTCCCCAGGTAGAACAACATCATCATGAGGCACTGCAGGCGAAATCGGGCCACAGATTGCCGCCACACGGATGCACTTTGCTCTTCATGATTTTTCAACGAAATCCACACATTGCACCCATAGACTCTGGTGGTGTTAGTGAACATTATAGCGTAACTTGTAGTTCCTTGGTCCCTTTTCGTTTCTATAAATTTATCCTTAGCTCGTCATCCAAGTCCAAAAATTAAAAAAATCCCAGAGGAAGATTGGCACCAGAAATTTCCGTCTAACGCCATGCAAATTTCTTTGCCCACATGTGCATCCTAAAATCGCACAAAGTTGAGGAATTCAAAGTAAAACTAGGATATACAAATTGTACAGATCGCGACTGGCGTGTGTTTTAACTGCCATTTTCTCAGCAAGGCTTCATAAAAATGGGGATAGTATACCATTGGAAACCATACTTGAAAGTTATTCTTTGAAGTTGCGTGATGAAGTATCATGGTCGCTGTGAGACTCGTTTTGACCAAGATTACCGAATTGTAGAATTGCCACCATCCTCGCCGCAGATGCAGCTCCCCCAAACTAGAGTTTCAAAGAAAGAAAATCCTATCCGATTCATCCATGTCGCCCTTCTTCCAGGCTACGAGTTCCCAGTAAACTGTTGGGTATTATAGCAAAGAATAAAAAATCTATTTTCTTCCAAGTACGACTTGAAACTGGTATCCTCTGTTTCTCAAACATTGACCATTCCACAACTCTTTCCTTGCTGGGAGATTTGGGGTTTGGAAGTGATCGCCAGGACATTGATCTGGCCTAGATTGGAATCTCAGAGGCCAGAGGGTCCATTCAAGATGGATCAATTCCTGTGTTTTGTAATAGACCTCATACACCAGAATATGCATTCAATGTACTGAGAGTGCTCAACACAACGGAGGCAAAGTGTATTACACATGACAAAAAGGCGTTTGTTTGCTGCTACTCTGAGTCTCATTATCATGTAATCCTCAGGCTAGACTGCATTGCAGAATCTCTGTCCTTTTCTGCCACTTTGTACATTCTGTCGCCGTATTCAGATTTATCGGTGACAACAAGCTTGCACGTTCCACAAACAATCTGTGTCCGTTGGCAAGTGTAAGGAGTCAATTGCAAGGTTTTCACGCCTCCTCAGCAGTAAAGAACAAGATCTCTCAAAGTAAGGTCAAACAATGGATAAGACTACTGTTCAATGTTAGAAGAAGTTCAATAATCTAGTGCTAACTCATAATATGCCTTGTTGTTTGTTTGTATTCTATATTTACAGTGGGAAGTCCAAAACAGGCCCTAGTCTAATAACAATGGTCCCACTAGTGAGGGAATGCTGTATATATGTGCACAAGGATCAGTGAGTGTAACAGCAACTAGTAGGGAAAGAAAAAGAGAAAAGAAAACCAACTCAAAACAGGAGTTGCGACTCGCCTAGAGAGAAAATAACGTAAAGAGCAGTGCATACTAAATTTTGTAAAAAGGCTTATTTATCTGGTAAGCCTTGCTGAGACGTTTCTCACTTCAGATATACCGGACAGTTTAGTGAAAATACCCAGTTTTATGTTACATTCGGAGTTCACGACATGCGCCAAGAATGAACACATTTGTCCGACACGACCTAAAAATGCTTCTGTTGTCTGTGCAAGATCGAGGTAGTCCGGTTATGCTGGGAATTGTCTATCATCCTCCCAGCGAGGCCGAGTCCTTCTGGGAGAAACTTGCAGAAGTTGTAGACACCGGTCAGTCATCCAGGCTTGGTGTCTCTCTGGCGTTGGGTCACCTCTAGGGGGTTTCCAACCGAATCGCAACCAATGAGTTTTAATTTTTGGAAGAACAAAAAGGACGGAGGAACTACAGGTTACGCTATAATGTCCACTAACACCACAAGTTACTAAAGTTTAGTAACTTGTGGATTGATCTTCACATCTTTTGAGCCACACGAGTTGTGTGGAATGTGCTTATTCTGGTTGCGCTCAACTTCTCCTCCTTATGGTATTTCTATAACTTGGAACCTTCCAAGTTGGAACGCTGTTGGAGTGCACATCCAAGATGTGTAAGTGCTCTTAGTCAGTTACCTGTAGAACGTCAGTACCGTCGGTCAGTGTCGTGCAATGTTATCCCATGAGCTGATTGTTTAGTAACTGGTGGTGTTACTGGACATTATTGCTTAACTTGCAGTTCCCCGGTCCTTTTTGTTCTTCTATAAAATTAATCTTACCTTTACATCCGAAAGGGTTTAACCCTTTTTAAGAGAAACAGGAAAATGAAGTTGAAGACACAGAGCTCTCCTTCTCACCACCACCACCATCAGCACATAGATGATGACACAGCAACGCCATAGCTCGATGGCGACGTACGTTTCGTACGGAGCTTCATACGGAGCTTGACTCGGGACACCATATTATTTATCAACCATAAGGACAGTAGCTTGACTCGGGAGAATGAAGTTGAAGACACCACTGCAGCTGTACTTACGGTGGATAAATATGGTATCCCGAGTCAAGCTCCGTATGAAGACATCCAAGAGGAAGATTGCCTAATGACTCCCGCGTCAAGCTCCGTATGAAGACATCCAAGAAGAAGATTGCCTGATGAGTCCAGCGGGGCGAAACGTACGTCGCAAACGAAACTATGCCGTTCCTGTGTCATCATCTATGTGCCATGTGCTACTTGATGTACCAGCCTGCTTTGCCGGATACCACCAGCCATGCATCGACCAGGCGCCAGGCGCGAACTGATGGTGGTGGTGGTGAGAAGGAGAGCTCTGTGCCTGAACTTTGCAGCCTAGAGAGCGTGTGTGGGCAGGCGTGTGTTTACCGCCATATTGCCGGGTGTGTCTTTACCACCATATTTATCAACCATAAGTACAGCTGCAGTGGTGACTTCAACTTCATTCTCCCGAATCAAGCTCCGTATAAAGACATCCAAGAAGAAGATTGCCTGATGAGTCCAGCGGGGACGAAACGTACGTCGCAATCGAGCTATGTCGTTGCTGTGTCATCATCTATGTGCCATGCGCTACTTGATGTACCAGCCTGCTATGCCGGATACCGCCAGCCATGCATCGACCAGGCGCCAGGCGCGAACTGATGGTGGTGGTGGTGAGAAGGAGAGCTCTGTGCCAGAACTTTGCAGCCTAGAGAGCGTGTGTGGGCAGGCGTGTGTTTACCGCCATATTGCCAGGTGTGTCTTTACCACTATATTTATCAGCAACAGGAAATGTTCGAAATCCTGCATTTTTTCGTGTTCCATGGATCATACCTTCAGTTCCAATCACTCAATCTTCATAATCTCGGGCCTCCTGGAAACGTATCGGGGAGAGGAAGAGAATGAGGTCAACCATGATCGTCAATACTGTTGACAGTGTATATCCAACGTGCGTCGGTGGTGCGAAAAATGCCTCAAATGTACTGATGGTAACCTGCTGTAGCTATTTCGTTTTTCTCGATTGCAGAGTTTCGATCTTTTCTGTGTACTCTTGAGAATATCACAAGTGAAACCCGTGTAAATTTGTGCAAGTCAGCGTAGAGAAAAGTCTCAAATTCTCAATGCTCAAGTCACGATGCCTACCGACAGCTGAGGGTGTTCTCTTCGACTTGGACTTATGGATCTTTCGATTTGATCGAGATTCAACTGAATTACGATCTGTTGAATTTTTGCATTCTTGCCAGATCGATCGTGTGCCCTACCAAAAATGCCCAAACACGTTGCACGTTTGGAACATTTGGAGGGTTTCCGGGCAACGGGAACCCCCCTCCCCCCTCACTCACACTAATCCTGGAGCTTTTTGCAATCAGCGTCGCGTCAGATGCCTTGCCTTTGTTTGCTGACTACCTCAGCAAGCGTCGACAACGAGTTGCGTAAGTTGGTGGCACCAGTCGTCAACCGATCTCTGTAGTCTGCGATGGTGGCTGTGGCAGAGCTGCTCCATTCCAATTGTCTGTTCTCAATACTGCCAAGACATAAGTCGTCGGTATCACAGCGAGCCGTCACACCACAGTCGACTTGTCTATCAACTGCCATGGTACCCTTCTGCAACAAGCATTCACTGTTTAGTACCTGGGTATCCAGCTCGACGAACGCATTCGTTAGGCCCCCACATCAAGCAGGAACACCTCTTCTACGATGCTCTGATAATGCCTCATGCTCTGTATGCAGCCAACGCTTTTTGTCCGGGTCTTCCGGAAGAATGACGGCAAATTTTTTATGAGACTGAATAAGAGGTGTATCCGTTGCATCACCATCCAGCATCCACCAGCGCAAAAAAATTCACTCTATCTACAACTCGGAATCCGCCTTGTGATAGAGCGAGCAGAGTGCCAAACCCGCCTCCTAGTTTACCGTCATCACCAAGGAAGTGCCAGGAGTCTCCTGGAATTCTCTCTTCCAGGTCTGGATCGAACACGTTGCCCGCACAACGAGGGGCCGTGTGACAGGCGATGTGTCCCTGCCGATCATTGACCACAGGTCGTGTCGACCAAATGTTGGGCTTCCTTCTTATGGAACAGCCTGCATGTTGACCTGAAAGCAGCAGACACACTCCAACCAATCAAACGCCGCATCAAATGTGAAAGCGGTGGGCCCTGACTAGTGCATAGCTACGGGAATTTCAGCGGTGTGGGTCCTGGTTAGCGCCAGACGCTATTGAAGTAGCGCTATTTTAATCGCAACGTGAGTAGTCCGTCTTTGCCTTGTCCCGCAATGGAATCATGTGAGGATTGCAGGCCGAACATAACTGCTATTCTATGGAACTGTTTACCCCCAGTCTAACATGGGAAGCCTCGCTCTATAAGTTCAAAGCTGCCCTCAGGAAATTTACAGCTGACCATGCTTATGCAATCAACGGAATTCCGCCACCTTGCAGTTGATTTTCCCCATTTCTCTCCTCATCAATCCCTACTTGTCATTTTACAGACATCTACATGTACTAGTAGTAGTACTGCTCTTTCAATCAAATGAACCCTTTCGACAGGCACATTGCCTTTGGGTCATGTCATTTCATAATAATAATGATAATAATAACAGAAAGCGCAAAAAAAGGAGGATGAGCTAGGTCCCGCGGCAGGAAAAAAATGCCGAACGTTACTGGTTGATGACGAAACTGGCAAGACAATGACATACCCGCCGCACTGTAACTTGACGACGCGAAGCAACAAATCACCCAGCTTACAAGGGAGGCTCAAGTTTATGTAATACCAATTTGAAAGGGAAGTTCGATATAGCCGAATCTCACACCAACAATGCGCCTTTTAAATCTACTGGTAATAACTTGTTGCACAAGCTTTTATTTCACATTCTTTCTCTCCTTTGCAGTGGTAAATACTTGTTCTGGTGCAGCAGTAAAATGTTACTTCCAAACCACTGCGTCGGATTATTTTTGTCACTGTCCCTTTGGCAAGATATTTACTGGATCTTCTTGTGAAGCCAAAGCAACTTGTGACACTCAGGATCGCTATCAGACGTGCAACCGATACCCAACCTGCAACAGTTCATCTGATAATGTCTTCCACTGCCAATGTGGCAGTGAGTTCACTCTGCAGGGTCCGATGTGCAGCCTGAAGCCAGAATGCACAATGTGTGGACCGCATGAAGCTTGCAGTCAGGTATCAGGAGGATACAAATGTCTTTGTCCTCCTCACCAGTCAGGTATGTATGTATGCATGTATACTTTATTTGAATTCGCAAATCCAAACGAGCACAAATGCTCAATGACAAGGCAGCGAATATGTTATTATGTTACAGGGAAGGAGGGTTGGGGAGAAAATAAGGAGAAAAAAGAGAGAATGGTAGATATCTCAATGAAGAGCGAAGCGTTATCAAACTACCAGTAAGTCAGCGAACGATAAGTCGATAGTTCTGTAACTGTAGGTAAGAGTGGTATCTAACAGTTTCAAGTTATATGTGACCACTTTTCAGGAAGCCAGGACATATTTTGCTCGTCTTCATCTGCGGTTTCCCTCTTATTAATAATGCTACTGGCCCTATTTTGATGTTGACCAGCCGTGCACAGCCATTTAAGGGGGGGGTGGGGGCACCGGAGAGAGGTAAAAGAACTGGAAGGAAGTGAATTAAAATAGTTTGGTTTACTTTCAGGAAGGGAGCGGCACGCCTGGGATGGTCGAATGTGTCCGCTATGGCCTGTACGCATTAAGCTTCTTAGGTGCAGATCGCTGGAATTCGCTCCCTGCTTCTGTTCGTATTTGCTCCACGCTATCAGACTTCCGCTCATCCATACAAAACATATAGGGTACCCCATAAGAATGCCTTAGGCCTGTGGGAATGCCCTATTCAAAATTTAACGAGAGAGCTTGGAAGCTCAGGGCCCTACGCTATGCTTTTTTGCCTTGATGACCTAGACAAAAAAAAGCATAGGGGTGTTATAAATTCTTTAAAAATTTCCTTTCTTTTTTAAACATAACCTGGGATTCGAACCCGCACTATCGCGAACCCTGCATGCATACCCCGATACACTTCGCATACATACTAATTCTTCCAAGTTGTTTCACATTGTGATCTTGCATTTGAAAGCCCTATTTAAATATGCATTGTGGCCAGCCGTCTTTGATGGCACGGTACGGTAGGGGATAGGTACGGGACAGGTATGATCGAGGGTAATACGACACCGTCTCCCGTACCGTACCATCAAACACAGCTGGCCACATACAGCTGCCCGCAATATTCAAATAGGGCTTTCAAACGCAAGATAATAACGTAAAGCAACTTGGAAGAATGGGTATGAATGCGAAGTGTATGTGGGAATGCATGTAGGGCGATAGTGAGGGTTCGAATCCCAGGATATGCCTGAAAAAAAAGGAGAATTGAACAATTTATAACATCCTATGCTTTTTTGCCGTCAGATACGGATAGCGCCAGGCGTGACACAAACAAACACACAAACAAATACCAAATTAAAGCTGTGTGGACCCTGGCTAGCGCCAGACGTTACTGAAGTAACGTCTTCTGCATAGGTACGGGAATATATATTTTAATAATCATAATGATAATGTGCACACGGTATAATATTACAGTATGTGTTGATGAATGTGCAGAACTCCAAAAATATGAGAGAGGCGGCCGCATGTACTCATATTCATACCAATAGGCAAAGCTCATGTACCTTCGCTATACTTCCGGAAATATTTTCGACGTATAGTTATCTGCTTAAAACTGCATCGAATAGAATGCAATAGGAATCGGAAAAGGAAGAAAAGGAGAAAGAGAGAACGAAGGAAATACAGAGGAAAGGAGAGACAGAGATCCGGGAGCTAAAGTGCACGTTTATTATTATTATTATTATTATTATTTTACCCGCGTGCTAGTTTGTACGTGAAGTGTGTGGGTTACAGTGAGGGCTGCGTCCCACCCGCCTGTGTGGATTCACAGGAAGTGTGAGTTACGAAGTCTGAAGAAAATGTTGAACGGCCTCTGCTGGGATGACGACTACACCATAGCTCAGTGGTTAGAGCATCGCTGGCTACAAGCGAGGGTCCCTGGTTCGAGTCCTGGTGGTGACAGTCAATTTTTTCTTCAGACTTTTCCCGTTTGTCTCTTTCCCTCAAACCAGTCAATATTTTATGACTTGGGGCTCCCCGCGTGCTAGTTTGTACGTGAAGTGTGTGGGTTACAGTGAGGGCTGCGTCCCACCCGCCTGTGTGGATTCACAGGAAGTGTGAGTTACGAAGTCTGAAGAAAATGTTGAACGGCCTCTGCTGGGATGACGACTACACCATAGCTCAGTGGTTAGAGCATCGCTGGCTACAAGCGAGGGTCCCTGGTTCGAGTCCTGGTGGTGACAGTCAATTTTTTCTTCAGACTTTTCCCGTTTGTCTCTTTCCCTCAAACCAGTCAATATTTTATGACTTGGGGCTCCCCGCGTGCTAGTTTGTACGTGAAGTGTGTGGGTTACAGTGAGGGCTGCGTCCCACCCGCCTGTGTGGATTCACAGGAAGTGTGAGTTACGAAGTCTGAAGAAAATGTTGAACGGCCTCTGCTGGGATGACGACTACACCATAGCTCAGTGGTTAGAGCATCGCTGGCTACAAGCGAGGGTCCCTGGTTCGAGTCCTGGTGGTGACAGTCAATTTTTTCTTCAGACTTTTCCCGTTTGTCTCTTTCCCTCAAACTAGTCAATATTTTATGACTTGGGGCTCCCCGCGTGCTAGTTTGTACGTGAAGTGTGTGGGTTACAGTGAGGGCTGCGTCCCACCCGCCTGTGTGGATTCACAGGAAGTGTGAGTTACGAAGTCTGAAGAAAATGTTGAACGGCCTCTGCTGGGATGACGACTACACCATAGCTCAGTGGTTAGAGCATCGCTGGCTACAAGCGAGGGTCCCTGGTTCGAGTCCTGGTGGTGACAGTCAATTTTTTCTTCAGACTTTTCCCGTTTGTCTCTTTCCCTCAAACCAGTCAATATTATTATTATTATTATTATTATTATTATTATTATTATTATGCACTTACGCGTCAATAGGGAGGTTTCGCTCTACGGAATTACGTATGAAAATATCGTAGGAACTGCACGGAATTTTCATACGTAAAAAACAGAACTGTTGGGTTTCGCTCTACGTGATTTCTCCACGACTACTAAACATGCGTTGTTGCTTTGGAGACGCGTTGGCTTCATGCGCCCACCGGTGCACCGCATGCACCATGAACCGAAACCGCGTTTTCCATCTTATTTTGCACGTGGTGTACGGTGTGTGTACCTTGTGTTTCGCGCGGCTTGAACGTTGCCATGGACAAATGCGGAAAATGCCGAGAAATATTTCAAAAAGTGATACGGAGGACCCAACGTAGGAAAGAGCTTTCCTACGGAATTCCGTAGAGAGATTTACGTATGAAAGCTGCCCTCGCTCCCCGGCGCGTACGACATACGGATATTCATACGTAATTACGTAGAGCGAAACCTCCCTATTGTCAGCGGTGGTAAACCGACCACAAATTCGCACGTGCTGAATGGACTTGGGAAATGAAAAATAAAAATAAAAAAGCAATGACAACAGAAATAGAAATACAATACAAGACGTACCTGCTAAGGGGCACATGACAGCATTGCTCAGATTGAACAGAGGACGCAGACACAGGATAAAGGGCATTGTCGACTCCGTTTTGAGAATAATCCAGTAAAATGGTGGCATATGAATGTTAATCCATGCACTACGTTTTAGAGAGGGGAATTTTGTTAGTATTTAAAAAAGATGTTAATTATTACTATTACCGCAGCAGTTATGAAAAGCAGTACTGTGATATTTCGGAGCAATATTATTTGGTTTTAGTCGTAGACGCCACTATTGGACTTGCAGACGTCCTCGCAAAGGTCCTTCCACTCCCCTCTGCCCTGTGCAATCTCCCGGATGGAGAGGAGATCAGACAACGTCTTGAGTCCCCTCCGCCCTACTCTCTGCAGGTCACGGGATAGCACGATAGGCAGAGTCGTTCTTGGCCGTCCCCTCCACACTGTTTCCTTCACCTGGTAGTAGTTAATCATAGCCGCCACAGCAGGACATCCGTCAGGCATGCGCAGTATATGGCCAAAGCGTCTCCATCTGGCTAGGCGAACAAAGTTAGATATCGGTTGTGCTTTGCACCTCTTGTAGAGAGCAGCATTGCTTATTGTTTGTGGCCACCTAATACCGATGAGACTACGCAACTGCCTGCGGTGAAACGAATCCAGTTGGGCCTCGGCCACTGAAGTGGGTGCCCAGGTGCCGCTGTTGTACAGTAGGACCGGCATCACGAACACGTTGTACAGCCTCAGTCTCAATTCCTCACGCACTAATGTTCTCCGCTTCCAAAGACTGTACATTGCTCTGTAGGACACTGTGGCGAGCTGTTTTCGCCTGGTGATGTCTTCGTCGTCACGAATCAGAGAACCTAACTTTTTCGTCATTCTCCATTCTTCCGAGACTCGATCCTGCTGCCGGGTGAGTTTTGTGTGTTCGGTCTTCTCTGCGTTGACATGGAGATTCCATTGCCTGAGAACTGTTGCGGCAAGAGGTTCAAGCTGTGCTAGCCAAGCAGATGAGGTACTGACAAAATCGGTGTCGTCCGCGTAGATGATGTCGATTGGTAGAGTGCTATCTGCAAGACAGCGAGGTGGGGCTGTGGCGAGGACATCGCGCAGTGCTGCGTCTAGATAGACTACAAATAGCACAGGGGAAAGTGAGTCTCCCTGTGGAGTGCCAATTGTTGTGTGGAAAGGGGTAGACTTAAAACCTCCAAGTCGAAAACTCAGCGTCGTGTTAGCGATGAGCAACCTTACCAAACGTAGGTCATCCGGAAGTAGGAAGGTCTCCAAAACGGCCAGAAGTCGGTGCCGCTGAATGGTGTCAAATGCTTTTGACATGTCTATACCGAGAATTTCAATGACATACTTATATTTCTGGACTGTTGCTGCAAGCCATTTGTGACACCAAACTGCATCTACCGTTGATCGTCCTGCCCGGAATCCACTCTGGTTGTCACTGAGAAAGGTATTAACTCTATGTGAGATGCGTTTCAGGGTGATAAGTGACACCGCCTTCCTGAGGGCAGTTAGAAGCACTATGGGACGAAGATTTCCAGGTGGTCCCTTCTTTTTGTTAGGTTTTTGAAGAGCAATCAGTGTGCCTAGGCCGAGGCTGATGGGTTTCGAAGACCCTGTTCA